TAACAATTTGTACAAAAACTCAATCGAAAGCGATGCCAATGAGACAGCACAATTAGCCTGGGGAATATCAGTTGTTCGAAGCAAAATGTGGCTTTAAGGGGTTATTGTTAAGTGCTTGGCCACAGGAATTGGTTAGGCATTTAATTCCAATTACGAGTAGATTTGTTTCGTAGCTAACAGGGAATTAGCCTCATTCAATGCAAGGCTCATTTGTTTAATTGAAATTAATTTAATAATTCATTTTTAGATCGATTTCATTTCTATGTTGCAGTTACTTCTTTAATATTTGTGGGTTTCAGTTATTTTTAAATGTTCGTGGGTACACCAATCTGGGCTTGTTTGCACTTAGGTAGCCCAATTATTTTTAAATCTTGTTTAAAGCAGAGGCAAAGCACACTCTTTCATCAATCACAATGGCAATCAAAACGATTGCTTAATGTGAACAGGCGGACACTCAAGTTGGCAAACATCTGCCACATTAAGTTGGAAGCCTTTCAGATACGAACTGCAGCAGCCTGAAGTGATTGCACTTGAATTGAAGGCCCAGTTGCTGGAATCACTCAAAACAAAAGTGGGGCCATCAAAATGTGGCCTAAATAAAAGTTAATGCCGGTAGCAGTTGCAGCAGCACTAACAGTAACTCAGTTTAATATACACATATGTATATGTGCAGACCACTTAAAGATACTAACCACAGCTGTGGATCGGCTTCATGACTGCAGTCACCCACCATTTGCCATAAATCCCCTATTTCTTATTCTCATTTCTTTATATGCCACTCCCGGCTCGTTTCCCTTGTGGCCAGGGCTTAAAGCAGCCAAAGTTAAGCGAACATCAAAAGCCAACTAATTTGGCTGTAAAAATAACATTAAATCACATTCAAGAGCGGCGAATAAAGAAGAAGTACCTATATATATATCTATATATATATGTATATAGATAGAGGAAAATCGAACACACATGTTAGGGTTGCGCTGAGGTATCCACGAAGTTTCCTTACCTTTCGCCGACGCTCCCCTTTCGCTTTTCGCCCCATCACGATTTGGTCTTTAAGCTTATGTTGCACTTGACTGAGTTTTATGCTTTGATGCTCAATGATTTTATTATTAAAAGCAACTTGTCCCGGTCCAAGGAATCTCCCCCTGGTCTTCCACCGTCTGTCTGCTCCGCTTTTCTTCTTTTTTTTTGGGGTTGCGTCTTTTTAGCCACCCTTGGTCTAGACTCTAGACTCTAGACTCTGGAAATTGCCAACGGCTTTTCCGGCTGCAGCACCTTCACCTTGGGAGTCGCTTAGCTGTCTAAATATGTCACTTGAATTTGATGACGGCCACTTGCGCAGCAACAGGAACAAAAAGCAGGAAAAACTGTTGCCTCTTTTCCACCCACCAGCCCACACATGCGATTAAGTTTCACCCCTCTTCGGTTGAGCTGAGTTTTCCTAAAATATTAGTTCCCTTTTCTTTCGCCCGACCTCTTCTATTTTTTGTTCTTTTGCCTTTGTTTGGGTCGTGGCTGTGGGGAAATTGTTTTGCTGCTTTTTATTGTCATCTTTGTTATTCGTTATGGCCACCCACTTTTCCGCATCCGTATCTCTAGCTGCTATTTGCTCAGACTCAGTTACTGCTACCTCGGGCCATACTCGCACATACTCGCATCTGAGGGCCAGGAGCCAGTTGTCATGAATAATGAAAAAGCAACGTGAATATATTTCCTTAGGTAGTTGGGCAGTGTCGAGGGATCGGCGGGTGTGGATTTGCCGAGGGGGAGATGTGGAAATGTGGAAAAATATTCTATTTCGCTCGGAGTATAGTTCATATCGGGCACATGTTACTATGCCATTTCCTACATAATTAGAGAGTTTGTGAAATTGTAGATACATTTTGAGTTTACTTGTGAAACGAAACTGCCTGTCCAAGTCAGGAGCTATTACTACTTTTACACCCGCTGCTCGTAGAGCAAAAGGGTATACTAAATTCGCTGAAAAGTATATATTTATGCCTGATCAGAGTCAGTAGTCAGAGTTGCCTAATGGGAATCGGAGATATGTAATCTTTAAGTCTTCAAATCTGAGATTTTCCACTGGCTTCTCTCTAAACCACCACCAATTGAATTCCTGAATAGATTTCTTTGAAGAAACCCCTCGGGTTTTTCTATTTGCTGAAGTTTTGATGTTTTTTCCACACTCAAGGAACGGTCCGTTTTCCTTTTTATTGCACTGCCTTCGATGGGCGCGTTGCTGTTTGCATTCCAAATTCCTTTGCCCACTCGTTGATAAAATCGAAATCAGCTAAGCAAATAAACCTCAATAAAGGGGCCGAAAGTGTCAATCGATGGGGACTCCATGTATCCGAGAATGGGGAGCACGACTAGATAAATCACCAATGCTAATTAAAAGCGAGCTGCGTAAACTTTAAATGAACTGCCAGCCGGAGAGGCCAAATGACAGTCCATGTCAGATGAATGCAAAATAAACAAAAAGCAACGAATATTTTTCGCTTAATGAAAAACTTGGCCCAACGCAACGAAAAGTTCAATTCAGGCAAATGTCAGCACAGACAGCAAAAACAACAGTAACAGCAACAGCTTAGGGGGCTGGTGGGGTTGGTGGGGCTGGTGGGGCGCCTCCAGATGAAAAGTTTTCCCCAACCAAATGAAAAGGCGATGATATTCGGAAGAGGGGAGCCGGGGCAGAGTAAAGAGGTCGAAGGACTGCAATTTTAGCCTCAAACCAAAGACAACCAAAATGAGTCCCGGATGTGGTGCAAACAAGAAAAACAAAAATGCTAAACCAACAGAATATCACAACAAGACCGGGCAAAATATGTTGCTGTTGGCCCTCTGTTCAAACCGCAATACAGATAAAGGCCAAATTACTTTCTGGCCAAGAAGTTGCCGCCACGAACCGCAACTTGAAAACCATCGGACAAACAAGAACCCAAGCCGGGGTCATGTTGTACTTTTCCGATGAGTTTATGGGCGGCGATCCTTCGGGGAAAACTTCGCCGCCAGCTGGAAAACCTGCCCTTGGGATCAGGAAAGCGGAAAAGTCTGGAGAAGATAGCTCAAGTGAGTGCGATTCGTAAGGATCCTCGCTGAAGTCGACAAGAGGACTTAGGGGAATCAAAATTACTGACAACCACGAGACAGGAAAGTTTTTACGGCTTAGACGTAAACGAGAAGTTCATAATGCATGGGACAAAATATTGCTTTAATTTCTGAGAAGAAGAGTGACGAAGCGAGGAGGTATAATTGTGCAAACAGGAAACTAATTTAAAACAAAATGCTACCAATGGAATTATCTGAATTTCAAGGGATTTACAAACATTATTACAAGCACAAACACTAAAAATTAATGCATTTGCAAAGAAAACCAAGCAAACAGTAAATATTCCCCTCGTAATCCCAAACTTCCTTCATCTACTTCGATTACGAAAGTTTTGCCTTCGAGCTTAATCCGAGTTAAAAACTTCACCTGCAATAATCATTTGCTGTTGGCCATATAAAGTAGACATTAAAGTCACCTTACAGACCTCGAACCGAATGTAACCGCAAAAACTGGCACACAACCAAGATCCGAAATCCAGCAGTTTCCCATGGCAAAAACCCGTAACCAGACAATGTTCGTAGATGGCCTGGCCAACTGGCAAACTTTCCCATCTCCGGGTGCCTCTGTTTTCGGTCGCAAATTGCAGTTGGAGCTCGGTGACAACCACAAAAATAAGTGTTTACAGCATTGATTACAAGAAATGGGCGGTGGTAGTTGAGTTGAGGCAGTGCCTCGAACATCAGAAGCAGGAGTGGCAGCGTTTGATGTTGATTAGAGCTGCACCACGCCGCAAACATTTTTGCATTTCTCAAGATAGTCAACTGAGTCGCTTCCACTTGAAGAATTCACAGGGATCAGCCCAAAAAAAACTTAATCTGCCCGCTGACGGGAGACATCCAGAATATTGTTAGCGATTACTTGCATCCCTGAAAAGGCTTACACACCTCGTTGCCAACCAAAACTACAAGCGAGTATAGTATCATTCATTTTCCGCAGTGCACTCCCGCAGTCAGTTAGCGTGTCAGTAGGACCAAGGGATTGACCAAGTCTGCTGCTCGGGGCAAATGGGGCAGGATGCGGGGTGGCTTTACTGGTTTTGCGGGAATTGGTTTAGGTGTCAACTCTGCGGCCGCACACAATTGACAAACAGTGAAACCCTTTTTGTGGCACTTCCGTTGCGTTTGTTTTCTAGTTTACAACCCTATAACCACCACCACCCACCTCCCACCGTCCACTTGCATGTCCTTGCGCCTTGCTGCTGCCGGCTGCCTGTTGTGACAAAAGTTTATACCCCAAGCATTTGAACTGCATTTCATTACGGCAAGGACCCCAGCAACTGGAACTGCTTCTGCTCCAGGACTTATTGGCCCGGGAACGGGTGTTACGGGATGTAGGGGCTGCGAAATGCAAATGGTGTTGGCGCCATATTGAAAGCTCGGCAAAATTCGCGGCCAATGCAGCCCACACTTTCCCCCATTTTCCGCCCACCCATTTCCACTGCCCGCATTTGCAGCCGCAGCCGCAGCCGCAGCGTCAGTCTTTTGAGGTTTTCCGGGGGAGTCCGCAGGGGCTGGAAAACCACCAACGAAGCGTATAAGTGGCCCTTATCCCCAGCTCGAAGTTGGGGCTGTATATTGTATTGGCAAATATTCTCATGACAATAGGAATTTTTATTGAATTTATGCAAAAAATTGCAAATTTCATTTGCCACTAGCACAAAAAGAGTTGTGTTCGCAGTTGTGTCTAGTGTGTAGTGTATGGAAAAAAGGAAAACATTTTCCATATTTTGCAGTACTCAGCATGTTGTTTTTAGTGTGTGTGTGTAGCTAAATTTTTTGTTTATGAAATGTGGGCTGTACTTTCGAATGGAAAGTGACACTAAATGAAATGGCAGGAAATGCATTCGAATTTGATTGAAATTTGAAATCTAAAATATTCAACCCTTTGTTTATGCTTGATATGTTTTTATTGCTTTTCACAAGCGACTTCCAGTGAAAATGATTTCCAATTCTCACTCGCGGTACAAACTCTAAAGAAATGAGAAAATAGTTCTGCAGTCCATTCTAAAATTCTGATTTAAATTTCTCCAAAAAATATTCTATGTATTTTTGATCCTTTGGTGATCTGTTGAGAAGTCTAGCAGTGGCAATGGCGACTTCAAATTCAGACTCATTATTCAAACGAGCAAGAGCTCCTGCTCTGTAGAGCCAGGCCTTCAAGTGTAATGGATCGAGTTTGAAGATGACATAGTCCAGGTCAAAGAGCGCCATTTTGAAATCCCTTTTCCTAGGATTAGTGAGTTATGTGAGATTTCAAGTTATCCTTGCGAAGCAACTCACTTTATTTTGGCCAGAGCCCGGTTGCAATAAAGAACTGGCGAATAAGACACATACTGAATTGCCTTGGAATAATGGTAAACAGCCTTTTCATAGTTAGTGCGGCGGTACTCCTCGTTGCCCAATCTGTTTACGGAGAAAAATATTATTTCTGTATATTTTTAAATAACTTCTTACCGTCGAAAACTGTCTGCAACAGTTTCGCGATCTCGTCGAGCTTCGATTCGATCCTTCGGCGATACGTCGACTTGGCGCATGAAGGATATTTGATTGATATTCGACATCTTTTGGACCCTTTTGAAGAATCGTGAGGATTTCTTGCGAATGTCGCGGGCAAATACCGTGAAGTTGGTATCGGTAACACCTTCGGAAGGATCTACCTCCGGCTTCTTCTCCTCCTTGCCCTTGGTGCCAGTGCTGTGGGAAAATGCAGTTAAGTAAGGAGCTCTGGAAAACACAATTTCGGAAAATACTCACTCCATTTTATTGGCATTCTGGAGATCATCCAGCTGCTTCATAACATCCATTAGCAGCGACCGTTGAGTCAGAAAGCTTTCATCAGCATCCATTTTTGTGTTTTTTTGAGTCGCTCTTAAATGTTTGATCTGTATTTGAAATTCAGTGTGTGAATCAACTGGCAGTCCAGACACTCATGTTTTTCCCATGGCCAACTTGGCTAATCTTGTCGAGAAAGCAATTATCATTAGGTTCAGTCTAATGCCTCCTGACTCCACTTCCCTTCCCCGCTTGCAACGTGCAACATGCAACATGTGTATGCTGGCAAATTAGACAGACAAGCCAACTGACATCTGGCTCGTTAGCCATGGAGCAGCCTGTGGTTTTTCGGATTAGCTCAATTAAAATTTTGTGGCATTAAAATTGTCTTGCCAGACAGCAGTTGCTGGATTCCGTGTGGCATATAAAATTGTACAAAAACATCAGGCACCCACCGAAAAGGCCCGCCAAGCCACACACACATTTTCATATTTATTTGTGCCAGAAATTATTTAATTGAGTTTGTTTGAAAATTTCTTTTAAATTAAGAAAGTTCTTGCACGTGACGTTTTTTCACTCTCGCTGGTGATTCACAACTTTATTTGTCCCTGTGAAAAAGGGTGAGTTGGCTGCCAGGATAAAACTGGCAGGATTGGCCGCACGTGCTACCCAGTTGGTAAAGTTTGTGCCCCCTCTGCTTTTCTACTTTTCTACTTTTTGTTTTTCTTTTCTGTGTCACATCTAGGTTAATCAAAACGACTATAATCACGTGAAATCTCTCATATGTCATGGCATGTGGGAGCTCGGCCAATTTATGGATAGAAATTCATTAAAACTACATTATTTTGCCGCACATTCCAAGCGCTTTCTCTCATCACAGCATTTCAAAATATTGATAACTCAACACTTTCACCCTTTCACGCCTGAAACATAACAGTTTTAAAGCGGCATTTAAGTTTCATCGTTTTTTATGAGCGCACCATTTCGACGCATATTATTTTCTATTTTTGAATAGATGTGGCGCACGTCCTGCTGAATTTGCTCATTAATATTGGTTAGGAGTCGCTGAAGCTTAGAGTTCCTAACCCAAGACGGTCAGTGGCACAATAACCCACTGCGTGTCTTGCAACACATCTTAACCCACTGAACGCAAAAGTATAATCCCATATACCGAAATATAGTAAAGCCCTATGTGGTCACTAATGTGTTGCCTAGTGTTATTGAAGTATTCAGAGCTGCTTAGTAGCACCACCAAGAATCCAAGAATGGGTTGAAATTATTTTCAGTGCTCCATTTTTCAACCACTGCTGCTTAGTGGGTTAACCAAAGATATGGCCTCCTCAGACTAAATGTGCGAACATTGCAAAAGCTTGGCATAGTTACAGGCGATGCTGCGATGCTGTCACGCGGACATTGATGACTGCGTTGACAAGTTGCTGGGGCAGCAGGACGACAACAGCAGGACACGTGGGACAGGAGGGGCGGCAAGGACGTGAGATCGTCCCTGGAGAAATGTGTCAAGCGCGGCGACTTGAGCTGCATAGCCAAGCAGGAGGTGGCAGCTCGATGGCGGGGTGCAAGTATTTCTGGCTCAACGCAGAGCTCGACATTGTTTCGAACTTTAAACTTTGCTGGTCCGCTCGCCAAGCTGCTTGTTTTTTCATCACTCATCAACTATGCTAAAGTTAAGGTTAAAGTTGGATGGGCTTTCCGTTGCGCTATCGCAATCGCTGACCGCCTGCAGCAGTGCGACTTTTCAGCTCACCTTTTCACCTTAGAAGCGAGCGCGAAGATACAACAGCGGAAAAGTTGTTGCTGAAGTGCCGACAAAGCAGGGGGTCATATGCACTATTGTATGCCCTACAAGCCGTTTGAAGCATATATTTATATAGGCAGATAAGTGTTTTGTATAAAGGTCTTTGTATTTATAACAAATATTTTAAAAATGAATGATGAACTTTCTCGTTAGCATTGAAAGTCTTTTAAGTTGGCTAACTACTACAGTTGTGCTTAGCTGGAAAAATGTATTACTACTAAGTTAACATCCGGACTTCTTTTCTATACCTTTAATCGCATTACACTGTTTCTAGAGTAGTGGATAGTACCCTTTATACTGGTTGTCTGGTTCCCGAAAAGGGCCTGTGCCAGTCAGGAGTTCAACTCCAGCGACAGGCGGTATGAAGCCAAAGACAAGCAAAGATTATACATTGCCCAGCCGGCGGGCATGCTTTGTAAGCGAGCTGGAAAGCAAAAAAAAAAAAAAATGAATAAAAAGCCGAGCAAAAGGGCGCGAAGAACGTGCAGAAATAAATTGCATAAACGCTGGCGCGCGCGGGAAAAAAGGCAAAAGGCAAACATGTTTAAAATGTTGTTATTCACACACACCGAACTGAAAAGAGCAGAAAAAGAGAGGAAGCTGCGACCGCCAAAAGGACCTCCAGCATCGTTCTTGCCCCACCGCCAAAAAAGGGAAGGCCTTCAGTGAACTGACACAAAGATTTGCCTGCGTCCTTTTGCAACATTGTTTGTGGGCCTTGTTCCTTGATTTTAGCCCACTTTCCCTTTGTACTCGCCTCACCCCATTCAGCATCCACCTTTTGGCGTGTTTTATTTACCTTGTTAACCTTTTTATGTTGACAAACTGCGGAAATGTCGGTGGGTGTATGCTGCTAAGACGGCGATATGAGAAGTGGAAATCTCTGGAAATTTGTTCTAAGCGGAAAGTGTCTTACTGGGGCTTTGGATAGATATAACATAAAATATTGAAAATACAAGTATATGTATAAATTGCTTGTGGGTCACAGATATCCATGCAACTTTGGTGTTGTATGGCTTTTTAGTATATTAAATTTAATTAAATTTAAAACACAATCAAAGCCATAATAATGTTATTATTAAAAACGGAAAGGCAATTTGACTACACGAATTTAATATGCAACAAACAGCACACAAACAAAATTTGAATTAATGTTTGGCTTCGCCTCTTTGCGTACATATATTTTTTAATAAGTTTATCAGGCGAAATTGAGCGAGTCAAAGGCAGGCGCTCATATTATACTTATCAAGCATACGCCATGTGTTACCCGCAGCAGAAGCAGCAGAAGCAGCAGCGCAGAGGAGCCAAATTAAATGCAAAATTAAAAAATAAGATCAAAAGGATTTGGGAGGCTTATGCGTAGGCAGAGCAAGGAAGAAATAAGCATTTTACATGTTTCATTTTTCTCTTGTTTCGAACATTTTAATATTGCGCCGTAGAATTTGCATTTGATATTTGCATTTTGAGTGTGCGCTGGTGTCCTTTATTGTGTGTGTTTCCCAGCACAGGATAAGCGTATTAACATGCAAGCCGTATTAGGGATAACTGCAACACAGCGGGCACACACACACACACACACACACGCACACACTCGAGTCGGGGGAACAAAACAGGACAAAACCAATAATGCGCATATTAGACTTGATGATGATGACGACAATGATGATGCGCCCATGCTCCATTCCTCTCATGCTCTATCGTACAAGCAATAGACTGATATTTACCAGCTGTGGACTGATATTTATGGAATAAACTGTATAATCTAATACCAATTATTGCTTCCTAAACATGAATAAACTGCACAATCTGAAGCAGAGATCTCGAAAGTTACTTTCACTTGCTCTTACTGCCTATTTTATGCATAAGGGTATTCCAAGCTTCGATCTGAAAAGTTGAACCTATTCCGAGCTCCTTTCCCCCCTTTGAAATTGATGTTGTTGTGGCTATTGTTTCTTTCCAATTGACCGCAGTGAGCTCATGTCGGTTGCATTTTGCTTGTGTGCGAAGCTTTGGTCTGCATCCCGATGAGAGTAGGGTGGTAGAGGGGGCAGCGGTGCCAGATGCTGGGGCAGGATGCAATATGGGTTAGGGGAATCTCTCCCGGACGAGGGCCGGCACTTCGTCTAAGCCAAAAACGTGCACCGTCTCTGGCAATCAACTTTAATAACATCACAGAATGTCAATAAATCCACAAAATGGTTGAGCCATCCTTGCAGTTACTCCCGTCTACCTCGCCTCACCTCTTCCTCCCGTTGATGTGGCAACCTTGCTGCAGATGATGATGATGATGATGATGAGGATGCTGCTGCTCCTGCCGGGACTTTTGCTGATGTCCAGCAAGAGTATCATTAACAAAAGGAACTGCGTGCTGCAGCTGACCGAAAAGAGATGCCACAATGCCGATCCATCTCCCCCACTCCCTGCCCACCGATTTTTCCCCATTGCCATTCAGGCAACCTCTTTTAACCGGATGAAGCAACTCGAGCTGCTTATTGGATAGTCCTCTCCTCTGTCCACTTCCCCGTCCACGTATGGGCAAAAGGTCTCCAGCAATTGATGGGGAAATCCTTAAAGTGCTCACACTGAAATTATTGCTAGAACAGAAGCCTGAAATCCGGGCTAACAACGGTTTTGGCAGATAATCACGCATGCCGGTAAATTTAGCAATCCCATAATATGGGTTATAAGTGCATACTAAGGAGTTGAAAAGCTTACCGAAAAATTATAGGTACACAGTGAACTCTGCGCAAATCAAGAGTGCGCATTGATTAACAACTTCAATTCACACGTAACTATTTATTAAAGTATTCCAACTTATTTCAACTTATCGGCGCTGCAACACTGCATTGCAAAACCCCGATTCAAAGCTGTAAATGTGCGGGTATTTACAGGACACACGCTGACCATAATATATGGTTAAATCTGTGTTTTATTTATCCACACAATTGACAGTCGGCGCGACCCTAAGCACATTTATCATCCAACAATAATCCCCCAATGGTGTGTATCAATTCCGCATTCCCCCGCAATTTACTATATGTCGCTTCAATGGCATTTCTCCTGGCCATCAGCTTTAAGCGGCAAAATTGTTTATGATTATCATTTAGCGAATATTTATGGACAGCAAGAGGCAGGGCAGAAGTATCTGAATAAATAAATAAATAAGTGCAATATTATTTTCGTATATATTACATCATCGAGTATTTGCATTATCTGCCATTTACCGATAACAAAGCGAGTAAAAAATGCAACAGTGGTAAATCGCTGAAAAGGTTGAATACTGTGCATATAAAAAATACTTCGGAAATATATGAAATTATGGTAGGACTCAGACCTAAGCCC